TTGTGTTTGTGTGTCATATATAAAAAAGGCTGTTGGAAAGTTATCAACTTGATGAAGAAGGTATTTATAAATAAACAAAACCTGATGAAAGTACCAAACATAAGCTTCTATTTGTTTGTTTCTTTAAGGGTGCTTTTGCTTGTGTTGTGACATTTTCAAGATTACCTTGTATAAAATCTGCTTCCTGTCAGTGTTAATTAATCTCACTCTGGTCAAAGGACATTGTTGCAACACACAGTGTTCTCAATGTTTACTTGAAACATTCTACACACACATTTAAAATGTTTTAATCTTGAGGCAGTTGTTTGATTAAGTGTAAATAAGTAAAAGCATGCCATTAGTTATTCCAATTAAAATTAAAGATGAGGATAGACTACAAAGTTCTCATGAGATGTAACCTCAATATAGAAACTTTCATCACCTGATAACTCTTCCCCTGAGGAATCTCTAGCACTGTTGCTGCAGAAGCAGGGAAAAGCATGTCGCTCTGGAATAAAATAACCTTTTCCTCTTCCCTCATTTTTATTTTATTTTTTTAAATAGAGTAATCAAAATTTGGATACCATTAGTTTTGTGGCCATTATAAATGTACAGAATATAATAATATGCTATTGAAAATTGAGTTAATTGTCTAAGTGATATTGCTCTTGTTTTGAGTGGCTCAAGTTAGAATCTTAGCTTTTATTTGATTTACTTGGCACAAATCTTAAGTGACTGCTTAAAAATTGTGTGTGTAGTGTAACAGATATTAGTGCAGAAAATGAATTTGGCAAGAGAAGTTCAAATTCCAGTCCAGTCTGTTGTGATTACTTTTGGAAAAATATAATCCCCCCCCCCATACTGGGTTAAGTAGCAGGGTAGATAGGGTTTCCTAACCTAGGGTGGGAGCTTGTAAAACAGAAGGCAAACTCTGAATTCAAAACCATGGAGAAGCTAACAGGGAAAACTACTTTACTATTTCCTAAGAATTAATGGCAATTCACTGGTAAGAGCTATGATCAGCTGCATCTCGATGGAACAACATGAATTAGGCATGGGGAAGGTGTACACACATACACACAATCATTTTTTTCAACAAATTAGTATATAGTGATATTTATCTGCAAATATTTACCTGGTTCAAAATGTAGTTTGTGTGTTTTTTTATATATATATATATATATATATATATATATATATATATATATATATATGTTTGTTTGTTTATTTATTTATAATGACATTTCTGGATCCAAAGAATCTTTTGAACCAGAAATCTGAAGTCATGAGTCCTTGCATACATACTTAAAAAATTCCTCTTAAGCATATATGAAGCTGGATTAAAAAAAAAAAGAAAAAAAAAGGACATTTCAATTGACCAATACATTTATAATAGCCTTCCTTATCTTCTCTTTTTCCCTTTTTTTTCTTCTTACTTTTTCACACCCTCCTCCACCCTTTCTATTACATCAAATGTCATGTGTTTATCTTTTAAAGTAATATAGCATTCATTAGTTTTTTTTTTTTTTTTTTTAGATAAAGTGTTGTGAGGTCAATTGATAAAATTCGCTCGAGGATACTGTAAGGTTGAAACCAAGGTTAACTGATCTCCTAATTTTTAAAGTTAAAAGCTCTACATTTTATTTTTTTCACATGTGTATTGAGCACTTTTTAATACTACTGTTTCCTGGTCTGATTCAACTGATCATTAACCTTATATATAAACAAAATTTGTCACTTAGCTGATTGATGTTATTCAGTTTTAAGGTATGCTATATTTATCTGGTAAAAATGTTCAATATCCAGGATAGAGTGTAAGCAGTGTGGATACAGGTCAGTCTTTTTCATGCTTGAATGCAATATTCATTCATATATATGTGTGTGTGTTAAATTGGTCAATATCAGGGATAGAGCAATAGAGCATATGTAAATATAAAAGTGGACATCAAACTCATCACTGCGATATATCTATATAATAAATGCGAATGTCAGTGTGTCGTGCTTTTTCAAATTTACTTCTAGAGGATGTAGCCCAGTATATCATACCATTTTGGAATCCAGCTGATTCTATTATTATTATTATTATTATTATTATTATTATAGAAGTCAGTATGTGCATAATTGACTCGTTGTTTATTTAACCCTTGCTGTCATGTGTAGGATTTATTAACTGTCAAATTCTGCTCATTCTAATGATGAAAGTCACACAAAAAATGTTTGATTGAAAGGAGAAACAAAACAATAATGATGATTGTATTTTAGCACTGATTTGAACTTGTGTGGAGGCAAACTTTTAGGTTTTCTCATTGCTGACAACATGGCTTCATCTGCTTAACTTTTTGCCATTTTCTACATTAACCAAATAAATCAAAAAAAAAAAAAACAATTTTGATATAGAGAGAGTAATTTTTTTTTTTTTTTTTTTTTTTTTAAAGTTAAATTTTGAAACCGTTTTAATGTTGTAGATTTAGTATCGTCGGGGAAGGATTGTCAGTGATTAGGAATTAATGCAAATATTACTGACTGAATAGGACATACATATCTTGCAATGTCGAACTGGAAGACTTGTACATGAGATTTGTTCTAGGGTATGTCTCTATAAAAGAGGAAAGAAAAGTAATGTGATTGCATGGAAAAAATATATTAACTATTATATTGGTAATGATATGACTGCTACTTGCCATAATATCTGCAAGTGGTCTTAGACAGTATATGAAAATGCCTGGTAACAATAATCAGGTCTAAAATATTTGGAACCATGAGCACACATTTAGCATATCCCCCTAGAGTATGATAATCATTAGCCAGATTAAAAAGACATATACACTCACATGTTCAACCCTAGATGTTTGTGCCTACACACACACACACACACACACACACACACACACATATATTGTCATCCACAGACAGTTTCACTGTTTCACAGCTCAACAGTGTGGCTAGACATCCGATTGCTTTAAGCTGGGATTGAAAACTGACTGATTTGGTATCAGTTGGAGATTTTACCCCTAAGCTGTTGACACATGGCAGGGATGAAGGTTAATTTAGACATATTTATTTTTAGACAAATATGCCAGTGATCTGAGAACTCAATTCATCTTAATGAAGAGACTTGCACACACACACACGCACACACACACACACACGTGTGTGTGTGGATGATATAATGGATAGCAGTTTAGAATGAGAGATTGTGGAGCCGAGTTCAAATTCCGGTCAAGTTCATAACATTCACTTGTACACACACATATCTTTGAGAAAGGTATGATTCCGTCTCTTCTCACCCCAGCTATGTCAAATAGTTTGGTAGAATGGGTTCTTTAGCCTTGGTTGGCAAACAATATTGGAGGACAACTTGAAATTCAAAATCTGAGGAGTCTTCACAATTATAATCAAATTGTACATGAGGGTATTTAGCTATTTGGCTCTAAGAATTGAGCTGCTGGCCCTGCATGCATCAAATACAGTGAAAGAATCCATCATATATATATATATATATATATATATATATATATATATATATATATATATATATATAGCAATTGCAAATAAACAAAAAGAAAGAATTATCAGTGGTCATGAATTAATGTGAGCATTACTGACAGAATATGGCTATTATAGATATAATTTATTTGCTGAAACATTTTTTGCAGTTTCCTGATTTCTATTATTTAGATGTTAGTCATTTTTTATTGGGTATCAGTGCTTACACAATTGATTCCTTTTGAGTGCTACTTCAACCACCTTATTTGCATTCACTGATTGTTTCTCTTGGGAATGCTGATATGTGATCAACAAATATTATCTCATATGAGACAAGGATCTACATATGTTTATCTAGTATCTTATAACCCATTAAATGATAGTCTGTAAGTTCTCAGAAAAATCTCTAAAGCCAGTGATATATTTTTTTAATATAGATTTTTTGTGATATTGAAGATAAACTACTGTTCTCAATTTGACATTGCAGACTTGGAAAATAAGATTTACTATTGCTGCATACAGTTTAATATACTATCAAGTATATTTAATGAGACAGGATATATCTTCTATTTACTTGTAACAAGTAATGTTTATCTACACAACATAAATAAATTGCAAAGGTTTGTGTGGTCATCATTACAAATGATTTTGCTCCAAAGTAATATTTTGGTTACTGATTTTGGAAAGATAACATTATAAAATTTTATTTTATTTATTTATTTATTTTTTTTTTAATTTTTGAGATGAGTGAGCATTATTATCATACACTGAATTACTTGAACTAATATCCTTGTCATGATTGTTATAGTCTCAACATTTTGGCTGTTATACCATTAGTCTTTTTTCAAGTCTACTGTAGTTGGTAACTTTTTTAATCATTTCATTCCAAGCAAGGTGGGAATGCCACTAGTGTGCAGGGGGTTACAGGGAGTGAAAATGAGAGAAAAGACTGAGTAAATGGAAGGGAGTTCCACATGCTGGAAGTGTGAGAAAAAAAACTGTTTGAATAGAAATAATGGTTGCATTTAGCTATTTCATTGGTAAATGGATGGGACCTAGAGCTTGTCATGGTAACTGTTCTGACAAGCTTTTCTTCTGGTGCCCCAGTTACATGAATTTAAGCATGCTACTAGATTGGCATCTAGGTCCCACCCATTTACTGTTGAAATAGCTGAATGCAACTGCTACTTCTGTTTCTTTTCTTACACTTCCTGCCTGTGGAACTCTTTTCTGTTTAGTTGCTTCCCTGATAACTCCAATCTTTAAGATTTTGTGAATTTTAAACAAAACCCCTTATTATTCTATAGAATTAGCATTTTTTTTTATTCCACTGTACATGCCAAGAAGTCTATAAGTCAGTTAATTATTCCTTATTTGTCCTTAATGTTACTTGTCTCCTTTACTGAACCAATGTATATAAGTTTTACACACAACCTAACTCAAAGATTGAGTTCATGACCACCAGGCAACTTGATCCACATAACCAATGCTTTTATCCCATTAGACTGTGTATCCTGTAGGACATTTCAATTGCTTATGGTCATATCACATTGAAACATTGGTTCCCATATGATTACTGGAGTTAAGCAATGTTAAGCCTGGTCAGTACCTAAATGGGTGACTGCTTGGGAATGCCAGGTGCTGTAAGCTTGGATGTGCGGGTGATGTAACAGATAATGGCTCAGGATTGTTAATTGGAGATCTGAGTTCCAATTTCAGTTGGGTTCATTATATTCACTTATGTGCAAATACCCATGGGGAAGGTCTGAATCCACCTCTTCTCCCCCTCAGCTATGGGTTAATTAATAAGACTTGTATCACTAAATCATTATTATCCCCCACCCCCACCCCCCAAAAAGTATTCATACAATCTAAAAATATTTTCTGGCTTTAAATAAAAGGAAAGTGTTGATAAACAGTAGAAAAGGAATCACTCAATCAAAAAAAAAAAACAAAAACAAAAAAAATTTCAGTGGTGATATCTTGGCACCTTAAACCTAAGGCAATTTTGCTATTTAGTAATGTTCATCAGCACTATATGAAACAGATACTGAAAAGTTCTTTAGCCTGACCAAGAAGTCCTTTTTCTAAAAAAAAAAAAAAAATTAAAAACAAGTTTCTCATATTTGGTCAAAATTTGGAAAGTGGACTGGGCCAAGATCATTTTAGCACCTCTTTATAATTATTTATGTTAACCATTTGATACCATTGATGTAAATATATAGATTTAAATAGGCTATCACAAGAACTTTGGATCAGTGGTGATTGTTTTAATGTAGACATGTTAAGTTATACATATTTATGCATAAGTGTGCATAAAGTAGGAATTTTCTCTTCATGCAAATTATTTCTTTACCAATTGATATGTTTGTAATTTTGAATACGCACAACTGCTTAACCCTGACTCCAGTAAATGTTTAAGCTTAATGACACTAAGTCATTTAGAATTTCAAATGGGGATTTAAATTTATTTTTTTAATCTGGATTATTACAGTGATGATATTTGCTCATTAAACCTTACCATAAAGTTAAATTTGTGTACATGTGAGGCTTACAAGGTGAATAAAAAAAAAAAAAAATTTCTTTCTCAGAGCAAATAAAAATTTGATATTATGTAATTTGTAAATTTTTTACTATTTTAATTTTATTTCTTTTTAAATTTCCTAACATTAACAAACATCAACATGTTTGTTTTTTGTTTTTTTTCTATTCTAATTAGGATAGAAAAACACACAGCATGTTGATCTTCATTAATGTTAGGGGAAAAATAAAAAAAGCCATTAATTTATTTTATTTTTAATCAAGATAGGACATGGTTGTTTCTTCTCCTTTTCCATATGTCTTTAAAATTATCCAAAATTTCTTAAAATTCTCTTTAGTAATAATGGTGTACAACATTTCTGTAATTTTAATGTTTGATTTGTATAGTACAACTTTTAATATTTCGTACAGGATGTTTATACTGTTTTCTTATGGAATACATTGTATTTTTTCAAAACTAATAACAAATATAGCAGCTGTTATTGTCCTGACTATTTATAAGGAAAGAGTGGATTGTTCTATCTTATCAAACTTGGCTAAAATGATTGGTGAGTGGGCAACAAAAAGAGGCATAATATTATTTGTTCACCTTGAGTTTTTCATACCAGTGTGGTTCTATAGACGAATGCTAAGAATACCATGAGTGCAACAAGGAAGTTTTAAGGTGTAGGGGACACAGCTTATTCCTACCTGACGTAAGTGACATAAGATCGCCTGTGCTGTGCATGGGAGACTCAATCTGTGCAGACTGCGTGATGTCTCATGTGACCAAAAATTTGTGTAGCGACCTCATTAGATGCCATAAAAGCTAGTGTTTGTTAACACTGGAGAATTGCTTGAAGGGATACTGCTGGTGCGATAGGAGCAACGAAAACAAATTTTGATAACTCAGCTACAAGCTATTTTGGAATGAGTTATCGAAATTTGTTTCCTTCACTTCAATTTAATCTTCTAATTGGAATAGACATGATCAAGGCTCTTGGTGGAATGTCTAAGTCAGAGGAGGTTCAATTAACCCAAGAGACACTTTCTCTGTGCTTGGCAGTGCCACCACTCTCAATTGAAGAACGTGATTTTCAGGTGGAATTTGATCAGCAGCAGAATGAGTGGACTGCATCCTGGAAATGGGCAGGAGGCAAAATGCCAGGCAAGTTGCAAAATCGCAGAGTATTCTGTGCCATCAAATATCAGAGGATCATACAAGAGGAAGTTGCAACAATGGATATCACCCATTTCAGGGGGTGCTCACTACCTGATGCTGATAAACTGTGGGCCTACCCGGTTTGTCATTTGGTGACCTCTATGACATGTACAGAAAAGGAAATAAAAGAACAAAAGACATTATCATCAACAGGATGCATAAAGTCCAAAGATGGAAGCTTGATATTAGAGAAAGAAAAAAATATATTCCAGAGATGGAATGAATATATCAGAACTTTTCCACAATGAAAGAACAACTAGCAATACACAGGAATATTGACAGACTGGAAATATTAAAATCTGAAGTGGAATTTGCACTGGCGACTTTGGCCCTGCCAGTTTGTTTTTGTTCAGACCATGGCGTTCTATATTAACAGGCCTCTGCGTAATGCCGCTACCTTGATAGACTGGATGCCGGCTGACAATTAGATCGTTTTAGTTTCAGTTTGAGCAAACTGCTGTGTACAGTGTACTCTTATGTTGTTGGCTCGAGAAATTCAAAGGAATCTTTTAATTTTACCTTTGGTTGGAATATCATTTAACTTATTTATTTGAAGTAAGTATATTTGATTATTTTAGTTTGAGTCCATACATTATTTATATTTAAATTTAAAAAAGTAAACTTTGGTGCTTAAATTTATTCGCACAAAAAGATTTACTTAAGTTTAAAAGCCTTAACATTTTTAAACTAAAGTTTAATTCATTTTTGGCATTTTTCCTCTTAAAGTTTGTTCAACATTTTTTGATTAAAGTTTAAAGAATTATTTATTGATAAAATGCAATTCTTTTTGAGTAATTTGTGTTATTTTAAGAAGCAAAACAAAACAACGTTTAACAAATTTGAACAGAATTTAATTTAGTTTCTTCAAAGCCGTAAAGAAAACTATTTTTATTATGAAATGAATTTTTTTTTTTTCATAAATTCAATGTCATTACTTAATTTGATATTTATTTTTGATATCGCTAAAAAAAAACATTGTTAGTATGAGTGAAAACATAACATCAACGAAATTAAAGTTTAATTTTCTCAAGTTTTTAACCATGATAAAAAATTAGCATAAGTCAACATTTTTCTATTAAAAGTTTAAGTTTGAATAATAAATTTGAATAAAATTTTAATAGAGAAAAGTTCATTAACATTTCTCTATTAAAACTTTATCTAACATTTCCATTAAAAGTAAAAAAAAACAACTTTTGTTTCCGAAGTTAAAGAATAAATGATTATTTTTACTACATTAGTTACCAATTGGTGAACTGTAAGTATTTTTTTACTTATTAGAATTAAAGAAAAAAAATAACAATAATAAATTTATTACATGCAGTTAATGTCAATATTTTAATTATTTTTTTTTTTTTTTTTTTAAAGGTCTCCTTTTTTACACCTTTTGACTACAAAATTTATTTTACAAGACAAGTATAATAATACCATTTTATTTATCATATTTATTTTAATATTTTTCTCACTGATATTGTTGTTAAAGGACAAAATGCATTATTTTTACTTTTAATTGTTTTGCTTTAAGGTAAAAAAAAAGTTATATATATTCCTATTTATATAGTTTAAAGCGTATTAAAATAACCAAACTAAAGGAAAGGCTACTTATAAATGTTTTTAAATTTAATATAAAGTTTTAAAGTAAACAACATTGGCCTTCAAATTTTGATACCATAAAAGTTAATGGAAAAATATGTCCAAAAAATCCACCATCTGTATGGCCAGGTGTGCCAAGTAGTCAAATACCAACACCCTCAGCTGTTCAAAGGAATATAAAAAAATGCTCCAGTACTGCTAGAAATCAAATTGCTGATGAACTTAATGCTTTTTTAGAATTAAATAAAATTATACAAATTTGAAAGAAAGTCTGCTTAACAACAAAAAAGACTTTATATGTCCAGTTGTAGCATTTTTGGATGAAAATATTTTAACTGTTCAATTATCAAAATCTATTGATGGTATTCCTCTCTTTATGTTGAAAATTTATAACAATTTTGCGCTTTGAAACATTTCATTATGGAGTTAAGTGTTATATTAGCAGCCTGTCCAAAAATCATATAAATACAGTTGATACTTGGTCAAAACTGGAAGAAATCATCCGATATTTAAATTCTATGGCTTTTGATCACAAGAAAATATCCTGAGTCAACAATTTTAGCAATGGCTCCTAAAATGGTTGGAATAAAATACAGCTCGGATATAGTTGTGCATGCTTTTGGGTACTATGCAAGATCACGGACATTGTATAATGAATTAAGATATGATTTTCAATTACCCTCATTAGCAACATTATGAAGGATGACGTCAAAAGTTTCAAAACTTAATGAAAAAATCTTTTTTTGTTATCTATATTTAATACTCTTAATACCAGTCAAAAAATGGTGCATAATTCTCCATGATGAAGTATATATCAAAAAAGATGTTGCTATATCATGGCAAACAACTATTTGGTAAATCAGTTGACAATCCATCTGTACTTGCTCAAACAGTACTTGGTATAATGTTGATATGTCTCAATGGGGTCCAAATTTTCTTACAAAATTGATTCCAATTTCAAAATTAACATCCGCGTTTTTATTTGAACAAATTGAGTTAACAGTCAAGCCATCACATCTGTACCAGCTGATGTAAATATGTGATGGCAACTTGGCGTAAATCAAGCTTTTTTTAAATTATATCCTACACTTCCTGAAAAACCTTGGTTAACTGAAGATAATAAACATTTGCTTTTTTTGATTATGTTCATCTGTTGAAAAATATTCGCAATTTGTGGCTGACAGAAAAAACAGGAGAAGTAATCTTTGATGATGATGGAGTAAGTCGAGTTGCAAAATGGACACATCTTAAACAGTTATATCGTTTTGAATCTGAAAGACTAGTCAAACTTTCAGATTTAAATGAAATTTCCATTG